CCAGTGATCTTCATTTTTGCAGTATATGTGAAAAATAATATTAAGAATCATCTTTTTATTTTCAATCAAGCTAAACTATTTTTTGGTTTTCATATTTGTTAGAAAGTAGATTGTTGTTGCAGTTTTAGTAACAAATAAGAGATCCAGTTTGAGCTTATGGACAAATCATTATTTTTTATTGTATTTTCGAAATATTGAAAATATATTTCTTGAAAAGGTTATGCTGGAATTTTTAATATCTTTGTTGTTTTGAAATACTGTAAAACTTCAATAGAAAACTGCAGCTGTGCAGTCAAAAAGACTATGTTTCTGCAGTTAGTAAAACTGTAATATCACAGTTCGAAAACTACAGCGAACTTTATTCTCAAGGCCTAGCTATGAAAGGGTAGAATTGGTGCATGTTTGAGAAAAAAGAGTAAAGGGAAAGAAAGAAAGCTTTCTTTGATTTCTATCTCCCTCGAGAGACAATCTCCTGTAAATCTATCTTTAATCACCTGTAAATCAATCTTTATCATGCGAATTTAACTGCTAATTAGTCTAAAAATAAATAAAAAATAATGAGAATACCCATTTAATTTCCATTTATTTCTTCGTAATATTGTTATTCATATCCAGATTCCACCATTTTCTTTGGATTTTGTTTCTAATTTTTAGGTTTTATGTGGGGTTCAATGAAGTCAGTGTCGACGGATGGAGAGGGACTGGGAGGGATCGCTCAAAAGATGGCTGATTTCATCTCTGATCATCAGAAGAGATTAAAGAATTCTCCTTTCCCAGCCAATTTAAGGTAAATTAGGGTTTTTGTTGAAAAGTAAAATTGATGTTCTGTTTATACATGAAAATGTTACACATTAAAGTGTTTGTGAGATTAATAAATTAATTGAATAGTTACAAACACTAATCTAATCTGTGATGGTATGTCAAACGCTGGAATTGTTATTTTAGGAATTGGGCACTTTGTAACATAGATTTTGTTGAAGAAATCTAGGAGGTTGGAGTTTGATTAGTGTAATTTGCCAACTTTTTCATGGGCTAAAGAGAAGACAATAGTATGTTGTGTTCAATTAAAAATTCTCTTGATCCGTATATTGATATTTAGATTTTAAGACCCTAAATATCGACATATTATCATCAAATACAGTTGAAGATGAACTTTTAGGAGACCAAGAGAAGGTGGACGAAGAAAGCCTAAATCCAGAGAACCAATAATTCTCTCTTTCCATTCAATCGAGCAACAATTTATCTCATTTCCCTCTTATTTTGTAGGGTAGTTAAAGCCTTAATTTGAATAAGGATCTTATATGTTGTCTTTATAAGTTTTTGATTCCTTATTTGTTGTTTTTTCTGTAATTCAACTGTTGGAAGTTTGGTTCTAGGGTTCTTTTGGCTTGATTTGAGGCATGTGAAGATTTCAAAAACTATTATGATGAAATGTATGTAGACATTAAATTATTTGAAAATCTTTTAACTTAAACTGTTGGATTTTAGCCCCGTTTTCATAAATTTGTAATTGGAATTGTTACTACTTCAATGAGTCTATTGAACTTTTATTGCTTATTGGTTTCTATTCTTAATTGATGCAGATCGATAATCAGAGAGACTCACAAGAAATTTGACATCGGTATAATTTTTGTATCCTTTGCATTCACATATAATTTCTATCTTGATTTATCATTCACATATCATTTCTATAGTTTCTTTACACTCACAAAACATATCCGATTGAAGTATAGGAGCTTCTCCTCTGTCCAATATGTTTCAGATCGATAATATTATCAAGAAGCCCTTCATAATTTCACGTCTAGACGAAACATGGCCTTGGTGGAGAATTGATAAAATTCATGAATATAAAAGAGTTTGTTGGTGTATTTTTGTGGATGCATTATTATGGTTGGTTTGGCATGAACGTAATAACAGGATTTTTAAGAAAAAAAAGAGTCATGCTCTGGAAAATTGGGTAAAGATTAAACACTTTTGCTTTTTTTGGATGGATAATGTTCCCTACAGATTCTAGGAGCTAATGTGCAACAGCAGGCACAAAAAAAGGAGGATAGAAGATGTTGATCCTGTTGTTGCTGCTGTTAATGGCCCTCCTGTTGTTGCTGATATGGTAGCTGATACAAATAATGCTACTGGGCTGAACAGTAGCTGATACAAAGCTGTGTATATTGTTGCCGATGACCCGGTTACATTTCTGGTGTTGCGTCTACAAATCTCTTATTTGTATAAAAACTATGTTTCCATGTGCAGATTGCTTTTGTAATTTTTTCTGATGTATAGAATTTTCACTAAATATAAGTGTGTTTTGTGCTTAAGATTTGGAAACTTTGTTTGTTAGTAGTAACCTTTGGTTGGGGCTGTTAGCAATGTATGTAACCAACCTGTCGGGAAGTAAGGGAAGGTGGCAGGGGATTTATGGTATCAAATGCTTGCTTCGTTATATCATATACTTAAAGCGGATATGTTTCAGGTTTAATATGAATCTATAAAATAAACATGAATCTGTTACATTGTTCCTTCTTTCTTTAGTTGTTTTTGAATTTAACATTGTCATAATAACTTAAGTTTTACGCATTACAACAAACATCTGAAAAAGTTTAGATATGGCTCTTTGGGTTCCTCTCTAGCATAATGTACATCTACATGTTTTAGAATGATTTTATGTTAAAGACCGTAAAAGAATAAACAAAAAAAATCTTTTAGGATCCGTGCTTTGCACGGGTCTAAATACTAGTTCTGATAAAATGAGGAGACTTCTGATGAAATCAAGGGACCTAATAACAAGACGAATGATTTGGAGAACAGTTTCAATAAAGCTAAGTACTGAATCTACTGATACGGAAAAGGATCTTTTTAAAAACATAGGAAATTTTTGCTTTTTAACCAAATAATAATACGGGGCTAGGAAGGTATAAAAGGGAAGAAGCGCATCGCCATTTTTAGCCAATTTTCTCTCTCCTCCTGCGTCTCTTTCTACTGTCATTGAGGTCGAGAGAGCTTTCATTTGTTCTCCCTCTAAACCCTAGAGGGGAGGGGAGAAAAAAAAACTCAAGTCTCAATCTCTCTCGTCCGCATCTTCAATCTATGGTAAGTACCTGTAGATCTGACCAGAACCGGAACTTTCTCTAAAAAAAATCTCTCAATTTTGCTGGATTTGCGTTTTCCATGGATTTTTTAAACAAATTTTGGTAAGAGGTTGGGTTTATGGCGATTTATTGTGGTTCTTTGAGAAGAAATGGGAACTCCCGCTGAATCTAGTGAAAAAGGGAAATTTTGATGCTGTTTGCAGTTTTTTTTGAAAAAAAGTTGGTTCCTTTTATTTTTTTATTAGAGTATTTAGCTTTTGTGGGGTTGAATTGTAGTTAGTAGGGGTTACTTTTTGAGCTCTGTGTTATATAATAGATTTATATTAATGTGCAAATTTAGGAATTCTATTTTTTTTTTTTGGTACTGTTTTTATGCTTTTTAAGCGAAATGAATAATTCAAGGTACTAGTTTCAGGTGAATCTGGTGTGCCAAAACTTTTTTCTTGTAAATTCAAATAACTACCTGCTAAGATGGTAGATCTACAAGTTCTTGAGTCTCTTTGGACAGGAAATTCTTGTATTTCAATTAAAAAAATATATACCTATGGTGAACTTTTTTTTGTTCACAAATCGAAAAATTGATGAAGATAACTTTTTAGTTCACAAGTTTTTTTTTTTTTGTTGAACGGCAATTGAACTCCGTGGATGAACAGCTGCAACTATACTACAGATTGTGGATTATTGTTGTTCTTTGATTTGTGTGCTTATGGGATATGTCTTTATATGAAATTGACTGTGTAATTTGAGCTGCGTCATGTCCACTCCCATAAAGTTCATGGTTTTGGTAGGGGAAGTAAATCTTCAATGGGGGATACCGAACATCCCTTAGGCCCCGTTTGGTAAAAGGGTTAATGAAGAGGGGTTAAAGAGAAGGATTAATGCACTTAGTCCATTTGATAATCCGAAGGACTAAATTATTAACCCGTTAAATAAGTTTTATTTTAGCCCTTATGATCAGTTTTAGTGTTTTGGCAAATTATGGAGGGTTAACTCACTTTAAGCCTTATATAGATTTGTTGTGTTTGGCAGGTTAAGAAGGGGTTAAGTCTCCTTAACCCCTCACTTAACCCTTTGCCAAACGGTACCTTATTGTATCATGGTCAATGGTTTCTAACATGTGTGGTTAACTGTACATAAAAGATTATGCAGTGTATGTATGGAAGTAATTAGAGAAATGATACATATGTGTTCTTCATCATGGACTCAGGTTTTGGTTTTGCAATTTAAAGTGGCCACAAGTTACGAAAGTATACAGAGGAATAGATTTAAGCTTACTGATTTATAGACTCTCTTGCTAGAATATACTTTACTGCCTAAGCTACTTCAAGAATTATGTATCCCGTGTTGGAAGGTAAAAGACTCGTGTCACTGATAGAAAGATCTGCTTTATGCAGATTTTCTTATTAGTCCTTTGATGACTTCCAGCTCAGGCATACCCATCTATTTATACTTTGGACGAAGAAATAATTGCTAGAGATATATGTCTTGACGGATACCCATGCTCATAGTAACTAGGCATTTGGCTGAATGTAGCTGTTCTCCGTCTTGTAAGCTTCTTCAGCTTCCATGTCATCCATGTCTCTACTATAAACAAGATCCATAGCACACTTGGCTAATGCTAAGTTTGTTGCTTACTTTGTAGACTTACTCTTTCCTCTACTTCTTGCTATTGCTCTAGTTGATGGTTAGTTAAAGTATGTTTCTGAACAAGGTCTGGTCTGAATGCTAATTTTTATTCTAACAGGTCTTGAATTGCCATCCTAGCTCTGCATTTGATTTGTGAGATTCTATGTTACCCGGGCACTTCTATAATGAAGCCGTACCCGTACCGGACGCATACACTGACACTTTCCCGTACCCAAGCTTCATGGATGTTTCTTGAATATATGCATGCATTTGTTACACCATGTACTCAATTATACGATATATGTGTTAATTTAAAACAGTTGTCAGAGACTTCCTAATATAGCTTACACTTCACCTCCATTTCTTGAAACTAGTTAGATATGGGTCTGGTTCGTTTCAGTCCATATCCAAGTTCAAAACTATATAGTTAATGGGTCGTTTGGATGTCTTGTAAAAACAATGAGTAGTTTCCAATTTATGATAATCAATATGATAAAAGAAACTTTAAAATGTGATTGGAATTTTAATTCTAATGACACATGAAGCGGAAGACAATTATCTCATGTACATTATTAATTCAATATATATATATATGTAGCTGTGTGGTACATTTTAGTTTTGTCGTGTCCCGTACCCGCACACGTACCAGTACTCATACCTGCTTCCATGCAACTTACGTGAGGATCCTGATTTTTGTATTTCAAGACTCAAGACAAACTACCACTACTCACATTGAACATTTGAGAAAATCCTGAAAACTTCATCTGCTAAGCATTCAGATTGGGCATCAATTGCTTAGTACCTTGACCTTAGTAAATTGATTTGAAGACCTACCTAATTCTAAATGCAATGAACTGAAATGATGACCTCACAGATAACAACATTTTGGAATGTAATGAGATATTCTTCATTGCTTACATAATTACATCTCATTTTTATCAGCATACATGTAAAAGAAGCATGGGTTGTATAAATAAACTGATCTAGCAGGGTGTACAGGTTCTTCCTATCTATAACTAAAATGCATGATTTTGCATATTCTGCCCCCAAATATTCATGCTTCCCTTGAGCCTTCTGCATTTTATGTTCGAAGATAAGATTATTTGATGGGAAAAGTATGAACCGTGCTAGACAATTAGTGTTTAAATGTGTCCAGGAAGCGACATGCGTGGCGGTTTCTCAGTAGATTCTTAGAGACTGACTTCTACATGCCTTGCCCCCTTTTTAGTCCATTTATAATTTTAAAAGAAAAGTTTGATATGTGTGGCATAGTCACTGGGGAGCCAACTGTTATGATTATCCTTTTGTATACTTTTTTAAACCTAAACTTGCATAACTTCCTATTGGTAGTGCAGATATATTAAAATATCAGCAATCTCTTAAAGAAGCGGCTGCTAATTCACCACATTCTAGCTGTTGGGAAGAGTCATCATTTTGTATCCTGTATTGCCTCAAGGCATGAGAGAAACAATTTTACGACAATAAATATCGTTATTGCCTAATCACAGAAATATGGGTTCTCTTTCTTTGTGGCTGTGGGAATTAGTGGGGTTTTTTCATTTCTGCTGGAGGAAGTTCTTATTATTATATGTTAGAATGACCATTTAAACGATCCGCTGACATTTAGCTAGATGTTGCCACCCCATTTTCGTAAGACTTCTGGCAAATTCACTTCTTATGTTCATTGATTTACAATATGTGTAACTTATAAGCTGAGTTCTACAGGAATCTCAGTCTACATCAGAAAGGCAAGTTTCCAAAGATTCGCCAGGCAACCATCAAAATAACATAGGTACTGAAGATCCTGCTGCAGATGCGGGTTCAGTATCAATTGCAAGTGGTGATAACAGAAAGATTTCTCGTGAAGATATTGAACTTGTGAGTTAACTTGTTCTTCCCTTCTATAGTCAAACTATGTTTGAAGTAGATGCATGAGGACCAACTTATCTGTAACTCATATTCATATTTCTTCATTAAATTTTTTTGTTGTAGGTCCAAAATCTGATAGAACGTTGTCTGCAACTATATATGAATAAAGCGGAAGTGGTTAGGACTCTCTCTAATCGTGCTAGGATTGAGCCTAGCTTTACGACTCTAGGTGAGTCAATAAATATCTTTCCTGCCTACTGCTTTGCGAGTGAATTTATGAGATTTTGTTCAACCAAAAGTTTCTATTGAACTACTGCTGCTTCTACTACTTCTGAGAAATAGATACATCAGAAAGATTTGATCTCTAGGCCTGTTCATCTTCATTTACTCTTCCATAAACACCTCACCACTTTCATCTTAGTTATCTGGCTGACACCATGGTATTATCCTACCTTAGTGGGGACTGAAAGCTACTATCTACAGGTTTGAGCTTGATATCTCATGGTCAAATTGGACAGCTACAAGCATTTGGTTACTCTTGACCAGTATCAGAAACAGTCATATATTATAAGCATTTGGTGGATCTTGTTCTGGCTCAGAAATACTCCTAACTATAAAAAAGTCGAAGCTGAAGCAAGGACATGGTCCAAGCCCCAAATTTTCTTTTTTGCTTGAATATATAGGAATATCCAAAAAGATTGTCTTAAGCACTAACTCGATGTGTCATCTATGCAAGATATATTGCACGAACATGGACACACTGGCCTAGACACAACACACTGACACATGGAAAATTCTATGAAATACACATGACATCTCTGACATGGTACGACTTCAGTAGAAGTTTTCACGGGATGCATTTTGCGAATTTTGTCCCAACTTGGTTTGATCTCTACTGGTACTTCTGTATGTACTGATGCATGTAAGACCGCTACAGAATATTTTGGCAAACTTCTCATCACATTATTTATATTAGCCATGGTGATTTCAGATAAAGAACCTAACATAAAATTGAAATGGATGCAGTGCAAGATCAATACCTTCAATATTTTGTCTTTTGCATAATGAAATGCCTGTCATTTATCTAATATCACATTTTTCATATAATTTCAGTATGGCAGAAACTAGAAGAGGAGAATGCTGAATTCTTTAGAGCTTACTATATCAGGTTGAAATTGAAAAAGCAAATCATCATGTTCAATCATTTGTTGGAGCATCAATACCATTTAATGAAGTATCCTATGCCGCCTAAGATTCCGTTGGCTCCAATGCAAAATGGGATTCATTCTATGGCTGGTAATATCTCTTGCCCCAAAGTTTTCACTTATAACATGTTTATGAAAGACTAACATAGCTCTGGATAGTCAAGAGAAGCAATGATAAATGGGTCGAGTACCGAGGGAAATTTTTCCTACTTAGAAACGATTGAAAGTTGTATAAACACCAAATAGAATTGTAGGTCAGCTAACCGTATCATACTTTTTGTTGTTTAAAAATGCTAGCAGTTTTGTCAAAGAGTCATGGAATTCTGCTATTTCTTCATTCCTATTTCTCTTCCTCCTTTCCCTGGACCTTTCGCTATTGTGCTGCTCTACATTTTAGGCCACTTTCTTTGTCTGTCATGGTGCAATATAATGTTGCTTGTGCGATATATCAGTGCTTTAGCTTCCACTGTATTAAAAAGTTTAATCCAAATATTGTTCACTTGTCAACATTCTCTTTCTATTACTCTTTTTATGAACAGATCCTTTTGACACCTTATCTCAATAAAAACTTCAGACCTTGTTACCATTTATATGAGAGACACTAAAACCATATAGAAATATATAGGTAGATGGTACTTGGTACCCAGTTAAAGTTTTCGGTTCGACTGTTATCCAGAATCTTGGAAATAGATAACATCTTTCCTACTTCCATGAAATTTGCAATTCTTCTCAATTTCTAAACTTCCTCTACCTCACCTAGCTAGGGTCATGTTATTCATTTCCAAGTTCCAACACGGGCATTTGAATGACACTTGTCTAAGTATAGAAAACCCATATCACCAATTCAATCAGTTGGGTCCTACTGAACTTTGAACATTTTAATCTGACTTAGTACTTTTGTCATTTTACGTGTGTTAAAGGGGGTAAATAGAATTAGTTTCATCATTGTATTATATGCCCATTCCTTAACTTGATACCGTTGTTAATATTGGCTTGTTACTCTGATTTCATTTACAGTATGGATTTTCCATTATGTTTATGTTTACTTATCAATTGCAATTGCAATTATGTATAGGCGTGATTTATTAAGTATACTTCAGAGTTTTTTCTTACGTTTGAAACTTACTAGAATGTGAAAAAGGTTGGCATATTGTAAGAAAATCTTGCGTTCAGTTTATTGGACCAGCATCCAGTAATTTTCTTACACAAATTCACTGTTCAAGGGACTGATAAGAAAAGTACTTCGAAGACATGATGCTATTTACAGATATTTTCTGAAAATATAGATTTTGCTCATTACCTGCAATTTTCTTGACCTAACTACCAAGTGAGAAGTTCCCTTCTCATATTATCATCCTTATTCAATGTCAAACGTTTGCAGTGCAGTTAACAATCTACCAATGGGGTACCCAGTTATGCAGCAGCCTCCAATGCCAGCTGCTGGTCAACCTCATCTTGATTCTATGGGATTGTCAAACTGTCATGTTGTCAATGGAATTCCTGCACCAGGCAATTTCCATCCAATGCGTATAAATTCTGGAAATGAGTAAGAATTTTCTCCTTTTTTTTCCCAATGAAGCTTTTGAGTTAAACCCTGCATTTCTACTTGCAAAGGGTCCTTGTAAAGCTTTAGTCTTAAAATGTAGATGATTTGAAGAGAAATAATAATATAGGGTAATTTACAGCATATCACCCTGAGGTTTGCATGATTGTCAGAAAATCCCCTTGAGATTTTTAAAGCGACACTTTACCCCCTCTTCTACTGTGTACAAAAATTAACTTTGATATAAAAGCTAATGTCACAACTGTATGCACTCCCTCATAAAATATGTTTTTCAGAAAATCCCCTTGAGATTTTTAAAGTGATACTTTACCTCCTCTTCTACTGTGTACAAAATTTAACTTTGATGATTATTTGACTAGACGTAGGAAAAGTTTTTTTCATTTATGTTTAAGGTTAAATCTCTGATAAATTATTTTTCCTATTTCTATTAAAGTATGAGGATGCAAAATGGCACGCCAGAAATGACACCAGCTGTACCCCCATCGAGTGCTATTTCTGCCATGTCGGAAATGGCTGTTAGTCCTGCTTCAGTGGCATCGAGTAATCATTTTCCATTCACTCCATCAGACATAACGGGGATGGGCATGGATGCGTCAGCGCTGGACACAACCTTCACTTCTGATGTGGTGAGCACAGGAGGCTTACAGCTTGGAGCCGATGTTGGTATCGGTTCCGAGAGAGATTCTGTTGGATCTTTGGGGCAGATTTGGAATTTTAGTCTTACTGACCTCACGGCAGACTTGTCGAGTTTGGGAGGTAAGATTATGTTATTATGTGCTTTTTTATATACATCTTAAAGTTTGGTTTTTTTCTCTTGCTATTAATTCTGATAATATCAGTATCATCTGAAGCAACTTCTGATGCTCCATATAGGCATTTATTGTTTTTATGCTAAGCTACAGTATGTTCACTCTTTTCTTTTACGAATTTGACTTTGAGATGTTGTTATAATAAATGCATAGTTTAGGACTGTAATGTAATAAACCTATCTCAAAAGAGTGCCAAATTCTAACTGCCAAAATTTCTCTCACCCCAGATAAAAAACAAAATAACGATAAACACATGCGCGCTTGTGCACACGCAGAGTGGGCTTGTTCACCTGGACCAGAGCCCAACCCACTGACATTTCTGGTTTTTTTATGTTCACGGAGAAAGCTTATATCGGAGGTTACAGAGAGACCCTTAAGGTGCAACTCCTAATAGGCATATTGGTGTTGTGTCATTGCTCAGGAAACTGAAACTAAAACGCATTTTAAACATAATAAAAAGTCAAGCAGGCGACAAATTTATCATAATAACTCGTTAAATGGTTGTAGCTTGGTGTATTATTCTTCTAATCTGAATTTTACGGAGAATTTATAACGGAGTAAATGGATGTACGAAATTGATCTGATTTATGGAGATGTATGGTTCACTATTATGGCGGTGATTTATTTGTCATATAACTAGCTGATTTCATGAAGTTTACATGTTTTTTTTTCCTGCCGTGATCCTAACTCAGATCTTGGAGCTCTTGGGGAATACACTGGCTCTCCATTCTTGCCATCTGACTCAGACATCCTTCTAGATTCTCCAGAGCAGGATGATATGGGTAAAACTTGAACCTCTTCATGATATAATTTCTCTAGTAGCCCATCTACTTATATTTTTTATGCATAAAAAGGTTCTAGTTCTTCATGTTTCGCCTTTGTTATCATTGTAGTTGAGGAGTATTTTGCTGATACCGTCAATACTGGACCAATGTCTGATGAAGAGAAGACGTAGCGAGAATGGATAAATTCAACCTCCATTCTTCCTTTTAAGCATCTAAGCACTGGCACTGTACTATACAGCTGCTCTTCAATCTTGTCGAGCGCAAATCACTGGCATCCATTGCTTTTCATTTTGGGGAATGCGAGTCATTGGCATTCGGGTATGGGTTCACTATTAGGCAACTCAGAGAAGGAAGTTCCTCTAGAAATTTATCTATTATTGTCGCAGAATTAGAATTTTTGTAACGAATGCTTACAATAAAATTGACCAGATTGCTGGCCATTGCATCTATATAACCACGTCTTTTTAGGGGTTTTCTTATGAAAGGTGATTGTGTTAACACCATATGTGGATGCATAATAAATGTGCAGGATAGAGATTGAAGTTTCATTCGAAGGGGACAATGTCACGCCTTTCTGATCTTTTCATTTATTCTGTTAATTAGATATAGTTTTCAAAATAGCATGAGAAAAACGTGTAAAATAGAATAAAATACTGACATCAAACCAACAAAAGAATGCAAGAACTTCTGGCGTGGGAGCATTAACAGATATGAGGAAGGCATCAGAATTGATGCCCATGACTTTTCTTTCGCAGCGCTTGCATTGAGGCTAGGTAGCAAAAACAGCAGGGATGATGGAAATCGTACAATGCTAAAGTCAGCAGTTGAATGATCGGCAATTCTGCAAATTCTGATAACAGCAACAGCAGCACCTGCATTAATTTTTTGATAAAGATGATGGAGATGGTGGTGGAAAGTTAATGTTATAGTATCAACAATGATACAATGCTAAAGTCAGAAGTTGAATGATACATAAGCACTGTAGCAAGAGAGTGGGTGTGGCCGGAGGTGTGACAGAGGATGTGCCTGTAGCGCCACTCTTGTTCAATTTTATGAAATGTTTGGCTTTCGTACACCGTTGTTGGTCCCTGGACGCTTTGGGAAGATGTTAGCATTTGACTTCGCTTCTTGGGGTATCCAAAACACAGAGAGGGATAGCTGCAATCTGTGTCATTGTCGGACACTTCACAAATATGACTCATTCTATTTTGCAAGAAAATAATGAACACGCCATGTATAACCAACCTATATTTCAATAAGGTTATGCGCCTTCGTGGAGTCCTAAAATCCATCACTTCTGACAGAGAATATATATATATATATATATAACTTCACAAATATGACTCATTCTATTTTGCAAGAAAATAATGAACACGCCATGTATAACCAACCTATATTTCAATAAGGTTATGCGCCTTCGTGGAGTCCTAAAATCCATCACTTCTGACAGAGAATATATATATATATACACGAACCATTTTTGGAGAGTCTTATAGAGGATTCACGAACAGACGGTCAAACGAAGATGGTGAACAAGAGTCTGGGGATTCTTATTTTGCAGTTTGGTTGGAGGTTATCCAAAAAAGTGGGGGATCTTGTGCTTTGAGCAGCTGAGTTTGTCCATAATTGCATGCTCACTTAATCGCACCACAAAAAAGGGCATCCTGAGAAAGTATCCATGATCGAGAGTTCCTGCTCTAGAGGTTTCGGAACTTCTTTGAATGAGAACAAATACTCTTCTCGATAAGATTAGTAGATGTTATTGATTATTATTAGAAATCGGTGTGTAAAAGACTGATGATTTGTCATTATTTGTTGACGAGTGACACATAAGGATAAGCCTTACGAGGAAGTCCTATCAAGTTTGATATGGTTGAGGTCTTGAGACGACCGGCAATTCTAAGTAAGTTTTGAAAGCGGGGGTTATTGGTTGGGACATTTTGGGGGATAATAGTATAATTTTGGGGATTCTATTTCAAAATGTTATTCATTAGGACAATGGAACAAGGATAATACTTTTTTGTGTTATTGATTTTTTAAAACACTAGTGAGACAATTACACCACTTGGGATAAAATTACCCCACTCATATACAAAAATTTTATCCCAATAGTAAAAATTTACACCATCCTCCATATTGGAACAATGTTGTTCCACTTTGAAGGCAATTGGGATAATTTTAAAATATTTTTGTATTACTTAACTAATACATGCTAATTATATTATAAATATATGACATAATATATAAAATATAACATATATTAATATTTTAATAACATAATTTAATAACATATATTAATAATATTATATAATGATAATTATAGTATAATGTATTTATTATAATATTATATAATATTTTAATAACATATATTAATAATATTATATAATAACATATATTAATATTTTGATAACATATATTACTAATATTATGTAATATATTATTATATAATATTAATTAGTACATTATATCCTATGATACTATATTATAATATATTATATTAATTATTATATATAGTATAGCATGTTAATCTACTTCTTCATTACTAAAGGAGAACAATCAAAAAGGTCTAATGAACAGTAAATCTTAAGTGGACCAATCAAAAGTGGCCACGTCATACCCTCATACTATTTTTTTTTTGAAAAACCACCAGAACCTCATCCCCCCACCCCACGTTCTCTCTCTCCCCCCACGTCCCCACGTTCTCTCTCTCTCTCTCACAAGATGAACGAAGGGCCTTCCAACACAAATAACAAATTTTTACCCCATTCTTCGCCTCAACTGGATGTTCATCATCAATATGACAATATTATTAAAATATTATATTAAATATATTAATATTATATTATATTAATTATTATATATAGTATAGCATGTTAATCTACTTCTTCATTACTAAAGGAGAACAATCAAAAAGGTCTAATGAACAGTAAATCTTAAGTGGACCAATCAAAAGTGGCCACGTCATACCCTCATACTATTTTTTTTTTGAAAAACCACCAGAACCTCATCCCCCCACCCCACGTTCTCTCTCTCCCCCCACGTCCCCACGTTCTCTCTCTCTCTCTCACAAGATGAACGAAGGGCCTTCCAACACAAATAACAAATTTTTACCCCATTCTTCGCCTCAACTGGATGTTCATCATCAATATGACAACAAAGCCCAATGATATCGAAATCCTCAGAACAAAACGGGCAAGCGAAGAACTCCGCTCGAGGCTCCTCATCGCCTCCATCGACTTCTTCAAACCCTAGGTACAGATCTGAACACCAAAAGCCCCATCAAACAACCACTCAAATCCCCAATCAACCTCACGAACTAGGGTTTCATCGAGGACTCACCGTATCGCGATTGAAGAGCAGATTGATGGCGCTTCGATGCAGCAGACAATCGAGTCCAAGAATCGGGTTCCATCGATTGAATCGCTTCCGAGATCGAACAAATCGAAGGTCAAACCCTAATTATATATTACTAGAAAAATTACAGTTTTTTTAGAAATAATTTATTGGGAAAATGGGGGAAGAAGGAGATGAGTGATAAAAGCCAGAGATAAATAGAAAGGAGGAAAGGGGACAGAACCACCGACCGCGGTGGGTCAGCACTCTCACGGATCTCAAACTACCCATATATTTTGGTCACCAGAACCTTCGTGATCGCCAGCACTATATTTTTGAGAGATCTCTACAATCAAATTCCACATTCTTTACAACAATTTCCAGTTATCTCAATGGTTCATGGGATCAAAGCATCTAAATCCAGGTATACCTACATCAATTCCGTCATGTTAATACCTCATCTTCTTAATTTTCAAATTTTAATTCCTCATATTTACTTCTTTAAGTCTCTTATCAAATTTCATATTCTAATCCATAAATTTCAATTAAATTTCCTCAAATTATATCTTTTAATCTTTATCCTTAAATTAGTAATAATCAAATTTCCTATTTTAATTTCTGATTAGATTTCATAATTTAATTTCTACTCAATGTTGCAATCTATTTCAATTTTTTTTGATTACATAATCATATTTCATCTTATGATCCTTAAATTAATACGCAATTTTTTTTCATAGGTAGTTGACCGCATCAAATTTCATAAGTATGACATTTGTTTGCCCTCAGTTTTGATTGCTTTGGTTTTATTCTCTATTTTGTGGTGAGTAAGGAGTAGAGAATTGTCCCTACCACGAATCTCTTATGAATTTATAGCATGCAGTGTATTTGCGATATTAAATTTTTTATTGTGAATGCTTTAGATGTCATACATTACATGGACTGTAGTGGTTTGCCATTTAATTGTATGGATTAGTACATTGCAGGTTATTACTAGGTGGCAAAGATCTGCTTGCAATGGTTCCTACTGGCTTGCAAAAATGCAAGAAATGTTAAGAACAAAAGTAGAAATACACAGCATGCTATAAATTCATAAGAGATTCATGTTGCTTGCTAAGGACATTTCTCTGTGCTTTACTCACCAGAAAGAAACAATAGAACCAAAGCAATCAAAACTGAGGGCAAGCAAATGATATAGTTATGATATTTATGAAATTTAAATGTTTTAGAGAGTCAAATTTTCATTTTACCTCCTTAATGAATGTGAGGTTTTAGCAGATTTCAATGATGTGTTCTGACTTGAAATTAATTACTTTAATGTCAAATTTCTCCCTTCTGTGATTGCAAATACCATGTCCAAAACTGTCAAATCTAATAAAATCCCAGTTACAACTAAGACATGTGTGTAAACATTTGTTTAAGCTTCACTTACATGACCACAAAGACTAAACATTTGTCATTGCATAATAGATAAGGAAGTTTGACTCTCTCCTAGCAAATAAGACATCATAAAAGTGAAAAATTGCAAATTAAGCTTAAGAATTTAAGACAATGATCATAGAGTGTGACCTGTACAAGTTCCATCCAAATGTGCTGTTTGTTAATTATATTCTTAATATGCTTCATGTTCATCCATTTTACAGTCAAAGGAATGATTTATACATAAACATAACTCTCAAATGAAAAAGGAAATCATTTGACTAACCTCCTTATGTATTTGCAAATATTGCTGAAGCCAAATGCTTCAAGTTTCATGCAAATTGTGATGATATGGAATTGTACCTCAATTTTGTGAACTTTGGAACAACATGAGGTAGCTATTTAATTTGAGATGTCGTGATTGATTTTGTCTGTTGTCTTAGTATATTCTTATGGCAAGTAATTTGCGAGTCTTTGTGGTCTATGTAATTATGAGACTTTAAACGCTATCATGGATCTACCATTATGTATACAAATATATGCAGTTGAGCCATATGGTGTCAGACAATTGGTAAGTATGTTTTCGTAGAATTGGAAATTAGATTGTACAAGTATATTAGCTTTTGAATAATTAAGAACATCCTGAGCTAGATCCAGTCCTTTTGGTTTCATTTTCTTCTATTTGTTGAATTTTGGAATAACATGAGGTAGCTGTTTAATTTGAGATGTCGTGATTGATTTTGTCTGTTGTCTTAGTATATTCTTATGGCAAGTAATTTGCGAGTCTATGTGGTCTATGTAATTATGAGACTTTAAACGCTATCATGGATCTACCATTATGTATACAAATATATGCAGTTGAGCCATATGGTGTCAGACAATTCGTAAGTATGTTTTCGTAGAATTGGAAATTAGATTGTACAAGTATATTAGCTTTTGAATAATTAAGAACATCCTGAGCTAGATCCAGTCCTTTTGGTTTCATTTTCTTCTATTTGATCTACTTTTACATAAAGAATATTTCCTTTGTGCAATGGATATTGAAGAAAGGAAAAATAAGTTGTTTGTTATTTTTTGTATTATGCTTAAGAATTTCAATGGATTAAAATAAATTAACATAGATTAGTTTTTAATTTTGTTCTTTTTAATTTATTTGAACCGAAAGTTATGTAAGTTGTGTTGCTCTTATCACACAAAAATTCAGTGTATACTGAGTTTTATTTGTTATGCTCATTTATCATTTTTAACAATGTTCAAATATATCATTTATTATGTTTAACATGATACCAAGATCATTTACTATGTTTAACAATGTTAGTTTATAAAAAATCAAACATACCTTTGGTTAAATTATATTCATTTATAAGCCAAACACTGAAATTATTTAAACAATACTAAATGAACTAATGAATCAAACTTGATCGCATATAAATTTCAAGTACTAAATGAACTGCTTTGGAGGTAATGATCAAAATGATGAAGCAAAGTTTAGGAACCCCAAATTTGTGTCCTTACTGAACCACTTGAGATTCTACCTCCCAGAAATACATCCTTCTCTTGAAAAAGTAGTGCTTCTCGATGATGATGTTGTTGTCCAAAAGGATTTAACTGTTCTGTTTTCGCTAGATTTGCATGGTAATGTGAATGGAGCTGTAGAGACTTGCCTTGAAGGATTTCATCGGTTCTACAGGTATCTTAATTTCTCAGATACGAGGATTAGCGCTAAGTTTGATCCTCAAGCTTGTGGATGGGCAATCGGGATGAATATTTTCGATCTGATAGCATGGAAGAGAGCTAATGTAACATCTCGATATCACAACTGGCAAGAGCAGAATGCTGACAGAATGCTTTGGAAAACTGGCACGCTTCCCGCTGGGCTTCTAACATTCTATGGTTTAGTCGAGCCATTGGATAGAAGATGCATGTGCTTGGTTTAGGCTATGACTTGGAGATTGATGATAGATTAATAGAGAGTGCTGCAGTGGTGCACTTCAATGGGAATATGAAGCCATGGCTGAAGTTAGCAATCAGCAGGTATAGGCATTTGTGGGAACGGTATGTGAATTTTGCACATCCATACCTCAAAGATTGTTTTATGCACTGAAGCAATGCGATTTTTCTTTGCTTCGTTCATGTTTTTGTTTAGAGTGCTAAAATTTTAGATTTAGATTTATTATATCTTATTTCCCCCATTGTTATCACAATTTCTCTTTTGTAAGTGTCGGGGAAAAAAAAGAAATGGTATGTATACAATGAAATAGTGTCCGGTTTGTTGGATCATATGGTTCCGGGGTAATTCATTTTGGAGGATATTACAATAATTTTTGAGATAGGAAATATAATGCCTTTTGAGTCGTGGTAATTCTGTAATATTTTTCTTTTCTTTTCTTTGAGACAAAGGAAATTCTGTAATTGAGTTAAGGTTTTGGAATGTGATTGTATATCAGAGAATTTTACAAATATCATCGGTGTTTTTTCTTGAAGTATTGTGAGAGTGAGGCTCTTTGCTTGGGTAACGCTATTTATAATCTTTATTTGATCTATACCATGCATTTTGCTGTGAAAAATTGGTAAAACTTAAAAACAACATATCTTTGTTAAGAAGATAAATGTTATGTAGTTTTCGTGCCTTAAGCTGTACGGATACTTTACTTGAATTCCTGAAATCAGGTTGTTCCTTGCTCTGAAGGCTTCGCTGCTAGAGAACCAGATGGCGATAAATAATCAGCAGTACCAAATGTAAATATGCCTCGGATTTTTCTTTCTTTCATTTGTGTGATGAAGGGACATTCATCATATCGTTGTTCTTTCATACTAATTAGGAGCAGGAACAAGCTATTATATCCTTGAAATCTGATATCGAATAATAAAAAAAACAAATAGTACCCATATACTTCATATCTAAAGCAAATATTTTATTTTGGTAACATGTTTACTATTTTCAGAAAATCTTTTAGAAACCGTGCTTTGCACGGGTTTAAATACTAGTATAATATAATATAATATAATACAGTATAATAATTAATAATAGTAATTTGTAAGTATAGTACAATATATTATATTTTAATATAAAATAAAATAATATTTATACTATAATAATATACTAAATAATATACTAATCCAATTGGATAAGTTAATTTAGAAGTAATTAATAGATAAAATTATTTTTTAAGAAGGTGTCACATCATCAATTATCCTACATGAATTGTCAAATCAAAGGCTTAAATTATCTCATTATCCCACTTTACCTCACTCAAAATATCCCTCAACTTTTGACAAATCAAAACCCTAAGGGTCCACGCCGGTCAACGCGTACCCTAGGTCAACGCCAGTCAACGCGTTGCGACAAAAGTCAATGTATGACGATTCAAAACCCTAAGGGGGGGTTAGTCACCTATAACTTAAAATTAGAACTGGGATAATCTGTGGGATAAAATTTTAAGGTGTTAGTCACATAGAACTAAACCTAGAACAAAATTTTAAGGTGTTAGTCACATAGAACTAAAACTAGGATAAAATTTTACAGTGTTAGTCAAGCAGAACTTTAACAAAACTAAAATTTGGATAATTGTACAAAATTATCCCATTTTTTTTATTTTTCTATACAAAAATGAGAGTTCTAGTCTCTCAAATTATTCCAAGTTTTAGCTTGGAACTATGTGGTAAAAAACTAGAACTCGTATTTATTTTGTTATTTTTTATTTTTTTCTTTACTTATTTCCTATTATGGTTATCACCATCATTAGACCATCATCATAATAATAATTGTCAATATCTTATAGTCTAACCAAAAGTTATTTAATAGTAACGAACATTCTTGTAAGCAATTATCAATTAATAATAGTAAGTTTAAAATACATAAATAGTATTTATATCTTCAAAATGCATAAATATATACTTCATGATTATAAAAATTTATCCCATGTTATTTTATCAAAATATCCTGCTTCATAAAATTGTTCCTAGTTATCCCACTAAAATATCCCACTAGCGAAATATTATTTCACTTTAACAATTATCTCATTTTGCATGAAAATGTCCCAATTAACTAACACCCCCAAAGGGGTAAAATTGTTACATTGGAACAATTTTCCCACTTGGCCCTAATTTGTCTCAACCAATACCCCCAAGCAAGCATTATCGTTGTGCGCTATTCGAGGTGAGGCATCTTGCTTGAGTCATTCTTCACTAAGGAGTACTGCGATTAAGTTGGTGAGTATGGTAAGGTAAGCAACAAGACGAATGAGATTTTGAAGAAGCTGGGTGATAAAGCACATCGGCTAAAGCTGTCTAGCCATGAAAACCTCGGATGTTTTCGATTTGATGCATCTGATACCGTATGTAAACATAATCATAATTCCTCTATAATTAATTAGAAGACATGGATCGTAGAACTTCATGATAATCACAAATATAAGATGTTTGAGACCATACCTTGAGCCGTGCTATGAACCCTTAGAGAATTAAGACCTTGGAGAAGATTGCTTTCTCTCTCTAATCCTTCTTTAAAACCAAGTCCTTTTCATTTCGAAGTTAATTGATGGTGTAGAGAAATTATGTGCTTAGGTTTCTTTATAGGAAGAGAGAGGAGCAACTATCCGGTAGTTAATAAAACTACCCACCCACACATGTTCCATCAACATGATTAAAAACATGGGTGTTAGTTAATTAACTACATGATCATGGTCATATTAAGTACTTTTCCATAACCAATAATCCTCATAATAATATTAATATTATTTAAACCTTATACTTAATTTAATATATGACACAGGCCATATATTTCTTACACCGTATGCTGTCAGTGACAAGCTCATCTGAGGAGGTCGAGGTGAGCACTCAAAGACAAGCTTTGCTCATGATGGGGAGTATGATTGAGCCATGGAGGCGTTCCTAGCCTACATACATGGACGAGTCCGACCCTATAAGAGTTAAAACATCGCGGGACGTCAAACTCGGCCGAATGGCGAAAAAGGCCGGTTGACTTGAAGGGCCAGATTTTTGAAATTCCATCCTCTTGGTGCTCGAAATCGCGGTCAAAGATTTTCTTTCTATTTTAAGCGCAGGCTATTCGAAGGGGTCAAACAAAGTTTGTTTTCGTTGAAATTCGATATGGAGAATCTTGATTTCCTAATAGAATGATATCTTCCATTTTTGGTTATTATTATATTTTCTTTTTCAAGCTATAAAAAACTATTCCCCCCCCCGCGAAAATATGTCGTCCCTTTCCTTAATTCCCAGCACCAGATGGGAATCCTCACTCGCTCCCTCACGTGGCCGTGTTTCCGGCGCGGGAGATGGGCCACCTCGGTCCCATTGCAAATTGCCGGAGCAAGCAGGCGCCTCTCCGACCCCACAACCTCTCGGGTCACCTCACACCCTCGGACCGGAAATCAAACCACCCAGCCCAAGGGCCGTACTCGATCCGTTGAGGCCCAGAAGTCCAGAGCCCCCCCCCCCCCCTCACCCCCTCCTAGTCACACATGCCACCCGCCTGTGCCGTCGCCTCGCACGCTCCGTTCCCGCCATCTCCTCCGTCCTTCGTCGCCTCGAGAAGTCTCGTAACCTCGTCGTGTTTATCGCGACATTTTTAGCGCTAGCTGGCACCCTCGATGCGGCCAAAGAAGTTGGCGTTCCCGGCGACATATTCTTCCCTCCAAACTTCTTGACCCTCTCTTTAATCCTTCAGCTGCCGGAGCTCGACCGGGAGTTTTCGTACGAGTTCAGGGATTTGACCGAACCCGTTATGCTACCGGGTTGCGTGATCATACCCGGTAAGGACATCCTCCACCCTCTTCAGGACAAGAAGGATGAGGTAAACAAATGTCGAGATGCTGGAGGAGTTTTGGCGGACACTTTTGATAAGTTTGAACCGGAGGCAACGAAAGTTTTGAAACGAGCTGAAGAAGGTAGACCGCCGGTTTATTCGGCTGGACCGCCGAGCTGGAGAGTGTGGTTAACAGTGTACCGATGATGGCTCGGCCGTATATCCTGAGCAGAGACAGAATGGCGCCGTAATGTTGGCTGAAGATACAAAGATTACGCTGAAGGTAAAGTTCAAGAAGGATGGGATCGCGAGGAGGGAGGAGATATCGGAGGTGGTGAGGGAGTTGATTGAGGGCGGGAAAGGGAAGAGGGTGAGACACAAGGTAAGGGAGCTGCAGGAGGCAGGAGCCAAAGCTCTAGAGGTGGAGGGGAGATCATACAAGGCTCTTGCCGATGTTGCTAAGAAATGGAAGGAGGGGTAGTTACGGTTAAATTTTTTTCTCTTATTCGTTTTTTTTTTGTGTGTTAATGTTAGCGGTTTTTAAAAAATAATAATAATAGGATGAAAGTATAAGAACCAACTTCAAGTTCAATCTACACAGAAATCACTCTTAAAGAAAGTTCATAATAGGATGAAAGTATAAGAACCACCTTCAAGTTCAATCTACACAGAAACTACTTTTAAAGCAAGTCTCCATTGAAATCAACCACCTTGACCTATTTTCTAGTTAATTTTTTATTGAACTTCACAAATTGCCCTTGAAAAATATACCGGATATAATGTTAACTTTTTTTTGCTCAATGAAAAGATTTTATTCATCAACCAGTATGAGAAATTATGTACATCAAGATCTCAAAAATGTTTTTGAGATATCAAAACCTGTAACCAAAAGCTCTAAAGAAGAAAATATAAGCAGAGCATTTACAATGAGTTTAACCAGGCTTTATTTTCAGCTGAGATCTATGAATTCAGATTTGAGATCAGAATATCCATCTTTATGTCCTTGATCAAACATTACATGCTTCTATGTCACCTTTGGTTAATATTACAGGTTACGTGTCTCGCGCATTTACTTTTAAGAGCATTTTGCAGGTTTCAGTTGAAATTTCATCAAAAATTAGGTTAAGATGGTTGAATGCAACTGGAAACCTCTTCAAAGACGGTTTCTGTATAAATTGAACTTCAAATATGATTTTT